CAAAGTGGAATGATCACCGAGTTTCAGACCGCCTCAATGTCCTTAGCTGCTGGCACGGCCCCAAGTCCATCCAAATATTCGTTGTTGTTGGTGGCAATCGCCAGATTCTTCCCGTAGAAAAAAATCGCCCTGGCCAAATGTACAGCAGGCGTGGCTGATTTGTTGAGTCGGCTGGCACCTAGCCTTCCACTGAACTTCAAAGTCTCCCTCTGTAGTGCCAGCCTGTCAGTGCTGTTTAATTCAAATTCCATTGCTGACGTATGCTTAATATTTGCACTGAAAAACTAGAAATCATTTCAACCCGAGCCCTTCTGCGTCTTCGCTACTAGCTGCTAAATACAAGCTAGCTACTTCGCTACAGTGCTCCAGGGCCTAACCCCCTGTTTCCAAGTCATCTCCATTGCCTCATCACCAGTGCCAGGATCAAGTTGTCGCCACCCAGGCTGTGGCCATTGTGTGATTTCGAAGGTCTTGTGTGCCACAGTATAGTCCTGAAAATCAAGCATCCCTCAAAATTCTTCAAAAACAATTGATGGACAAAAGGCACAATTTTGTTGAACAAATACAGTCACATGAAAATTGCACTATAGACTATATACTGGTAAAGTATCTTTACGAGGTCCTCTGGGTTGGAGACTAACCTGTCAGAACATCGTTGAGATTCAAAGGAGCACTGGCCGCTGCTGGTGCTGTCGGCCTTCCCAGTCCGGCCAAAGTCGTGTCATTGGCCATTTCCGGGATGAGGTTCTGGACCTTCAATCCTCTCCAAATAGGATCAATTGATCAAAGACCAGTTCCCCAGTCTGTTGAAAACGGACTCACGGATCCACATTTCGTGAAATGCACTGACTGACTGTATGCAAGGGGCCTGCAAACACCCCAGGAAAGGGCAATTATGTTTCCAAGTTTAAGAACATAACACCTCATGCCGCCCTTTTTGAGCACGATTCATGGGGCCTAGGCTCATAAGCGCCTCCATAATATTCCATAATGAAGTGAGCAAAATCTTGCAACGGAGAAGGACCGCCCTAGGTCATTTGCACCTCCTTGATCCTTGCACCCCCTGGTCAGCCCTGGTCCTTCTGGCAGCTGAGGGCGTCTGAAATTCTCTGGGGAGAAGAGGAAGGCGGGCTGTACGGTCGTAGCCTGCAAATCGAAGAAGGCAGAAAGTTGAAGGGACATTTCTTGCTTGCAAGCACTGCACATGATCAACCACCCGAAACGAAACCAAGGCGTATGCTTGAAGGCTTCATCGCTTCATCAACGCAACAAGTTCATTGCCTCTGAAGCGCTTGACCCGATCCACCTGGTTGGGACCTCGAATTGCAAAAGTCTGACGGCATCTGACGGCCAAAATGTTTAGAGCCACTTGGCTTCCCGGGCGATTTGCTGAATGCGCTGAATGGCTGGGCGCAGCTTTGTGGAAAACATGGCGCTTGAGATGTTGGGGCAGCCTCCAATCTACTAGCGATGCCTCCAACCTAATCACCTGAATCACATGGGACCTTCCCTTGCCAAATTTCATCTCGTACTGCAACTGCCATACCCTCCGATGCTTTCAAGCTATGATCTCATCTCCAATTGAGAGGCAAAAGTCTCTGCAAATCAACACATGCGTTGTTGCACCGGAGGAACTGTATGAGAGCTACCAGAAAGTTGCTGTTGCTTCGATGCATCTGTCTTCTCGTCGCTGCTCTTTTTCCCAACCACAACTGCAGCTTGCAGCTCGTTCGGCACTCTTTGGCACGAATCTTATGTATTCTTAAACAATAGAGCAACATTGGAAACCGTCCCTGATTTAGGAACTGATGTTGCTTCAGATGTTTGATTTTAGGTCTTCGCCTCAGTCCAAGGTATATAAGTCCCAAGAGCTAGGAGTCAAAAGTGTCGGCCCAACCTCAACGACCCCGGCAGGTAGCTGTTCCGCTGGCCGGAGATCCACTTCCAAGTAAGGAACATACACCTCATTGTGTTGTTGCTTGTTGTCCGAACTTCCACATGTGATTTTTCTCCAGGGACTGCTGAACTTCTGCAGTTGTGCTGTATTGTGCTAAGCCCACAGCATCCCCAGCCATCACTGCCTGCAAGTGCAATTCTTGAGATGTACAATTGTGTCTTGAGTGAGTCGTGTGACATGTTTGAAACACCGTTGCATCTCACAACCAAATTGTGACATCTTCCTCCATCGACTCATTCTGCTTGGCAGCCAGCCCAGCAATGGCCTCGTTTGGTCCATCCGCATTCTCGACCCCAGCCATTCTCCTATCTGAGCCGCTCACGGTGCGCAAGGCTCTCATGGACTCCACAGGGACTCGATTCCCAATGTACCTTTGTTCAAAGCATATTTCCAAGGCAAAGAACATAAGACATAAGCATGATGTTGACCATTTGACAGCCCATATCCAGCAGCTTTATTCACTGTTCCAGGATGGTACAGGTCCATACTCAAGAATTAGTGAGTGCAACCAATACTACAGGATTCCTGTGGACAGCCCCGGAGTGTGAATCTTGTCAAGCACCTGAGCTTTTCACTGAATGTGCTGGACGCACAGGGCCAAGATCTTGCTTAAAATTGCAGCCGAGACCTGGCCCAAAAGGTGCATGGAGGCAGATGGCTGTCTGGTTCAGTTCATTGTCATTTGACTAATGAATCTGCTTTAAAACGTGTACTCCAGCTGCAAAAGCGATGAAAAAACGTCATCCTTTTCAACATGCATGCAACACTTTGCTTTAAGTCTCCAGAAACGCACAGTCTGCCGCAGTCCACCGGTCCACCTGGCTTGCGCCTTCTGCAAACAATCGGATGACCTGAAGAAACAAATCGACTCTGATCGACTCTCACAGGTGAAACATGGTGAAACCACAGACCATTGGACCGGACCTGGTCAAGAATGTCCACGAACAAGCCCACATCCAGTGGATCTGAGTGTATCGCGCCTCAGCCATGGAGTTTTCATGTCGAAAATGTCACAACTACCCACTCTGGCACCCACCTTGTCGCCTCCGAAAATGACTCTAGGTCTAGACTCTGGAAAAAGAAACTTATGAGCTTCCCCTGGGGCTGCGTCCATCAGCACTCTGCAGTGCTCGTCGCAGGCAGAGTAGGCCACGGTCTGCATCCTGGTGGATTAAAGGCAATGCCCTACGCTCGTGCCAGAAAGAGCTTTATTACAACCCCCGCCTAAGAACAGCTTAAAACAACAAGCTGTCAATTTGGGAGGGATCGTGCGATATCTCGAACAAACCATGCGAATCAAAATCATTTCAACGATACAAGTACTGCGAAGCTGCAGCTTCTTCCTCAGTGCGTATGAGCTTCCCCCGAAGCATAGTTGGTGGATGTTGGTGGTATAGCCCGTCGCCGGACAAACCAAGATAAGCTTGTGGAATCGCTCCGCCACCAGTGCGCTTGCATGGAGGCACAAAAAGCACCAAAAAAAACTAAAGCAAAGATACGTCCTTTCCATCCATTTCCTATGATTTCAACTATTTCAACTGATCCCGTGTTGCATTAACCTATTCCAGAGCATACTTTTGCACAACGACATGGGCCATAATTGTTCCAACAAAAAGTCAAAGCACTCCTACCAACAAAGCGATCTCTGGACGGTTTCTTGCTTTCTTCATAGGGTCGCACTTGGAAGAAGCTAATTAGGAATTGACCTTGCTGCGCCTTCTTATTTTCTCTTTTCATCCCTGTTTCAGGATCTACCCTGACTGGCAGAGCTGAAGGGTGTACAGTTTGGGTTCTTACATGTTCTTACTTTGGATACGGTGCACTTCTAACCTTCACTACCCCACAATATGTGGAAGGGCTTGGAGGGCTTTCAGCCACCCAAGCATCTATTGTATTTGGCAAAGGGCCACTAGAAGCTTTCCGAAAAACAACCGACGGTTGCAACACTCTCGTCGGCTTTCCTTGCAGTAATTTAAGGTGCAACCTGTTGACACTACGCTTCGTTCGTGTTCACAAGGATTAAACATAAGCCTAGAGATACCTCTCTACCCAACCCCAACATCTCCTGAAAGTTCAATCGCGGCAGCCAAAACCTCATTAAAGGCCAGCGAAAGCAGAGAAGGCTGGGGTACGCGTATCCATAAACACATAACCGCATAGTATAGCATTGGAATGTATGGGGGTATGCAATAAGAGCTGGTGAAGGAATGATATCAGAATATGCCTAAAATACCTCGAAGACGGTTGAAGCATGTTGAAGCCTGCCCATGGCATTGGGTCAAGGTTGGGATCACGCACCCTGCTATCTTTCACTTTGACCATCTCATGTCATCACGCACCCTGGTTTCACGTTTTTGCTACTTCATATTTCTGTCAATCTGTTAAAGTATCCACGTGTTTTTGCCATGGCGCATCTCGCAGCACAAACAAAAGGCCATGCTCTGGAAGCGCTTGGAGAGCCTGTCACAGAGGAAGGTCGTGGAGGCTGCATCGATTCTGCTTCTTGCAAAGGCAAGAGACGGTCTCAAACACCCAGAAATGATTCGAGAGTTATGACATGTTATGACCATTCTAGGACCTCTAGGATTTTGGAATACTGACAGTTTGGGTTGCTTCAATCGAAACGTCAGAAAACATATAAATATATAATATTATATGTATATATACTGTATATATATATATATAAACATGTGAACGCATGTGAAAGCCAAGTTTTGGGGAAGTCCAGCAGCGACGCGCATCAAGCATGGCAGCAAGGCATCTTGTTGGCCAGCGCCACGGCTCGGTCGCAGACCTTCTTCAAATCACCTTCCTGCAGCAGGACTTCTCATGTTGCATGTCTTACTTCACTGTTAGCAGTGTTAGCATAATCCCCACTTTGCACCCAATATGGACTGAATTCTCTCGTCCCTGCACACCTTGGCTTGCCTGAAGTGAGCAATCCTCTTGTCAAGATGGACTAGCGAAAGTCTCCTTCGTTCTTTGGCATGTTCCTACAGCATGGTACCAGCCTCACCTTGAAGGGACAAATCAACAATTCCGTTCAAGAAAAAATGAGAGGCCCTTCCATAGGAGTACCTTCACTGGCTTCACCTGAAGGAATCGACCACAAGGACGTTGCCTCCATGCCCTGGCGCATCTGCCGCAAAGTGCCCACCAGCAACTGGAGGCCACGCAAACGAGCCTAGCACAGCATGTTTGAGACAAGGTCAGTGATACAGGCAACATGAGGAGTCATGATGAGCCATGGCATGGCATCCCACTGATTGTTCAGAGTTCCACAAGCATCCAGCTAGGGTTGACGTGCTTGAGTCACCGCCAAACCGTTTAGAAAATCTATTGAACAACAAGTTTACACAGTATGTCTAACTATACATAATTAACTATACATTGACCCGGCCCGTCTTTGGAAGAGCATTGTGAGTGACTTGGGACCACTGGAACAGCAGGGCTGGAAGGGGTGAATCTGATGTCTGGCATGTATCTAAGTGCTCTCCAGTAGGTTCTCTCTCTCTCTCTCTCGCTCGCTCTCGCTCTCGCTCTTGCTCTCGCTCTCGCTCTCGCTCTCCCCTCCCTCCCTCCCTCCCTCCCTCCTTCCCTCCCTCCCTCCCTCGACCATTTGCAGTTTCTACTAATTAATCTCCGCCAGTGTGCTTTACACAACTCTCGCGCCTCTTGCTCCGAAATGTTGCGCTCCAGGCAAAGAAGCGCGTTGTCCATCGAACTGGCAAGTTAGCATCATTGGAAAATCATTGAATCCAAGCCGCTGCGCTTGCGAACAGGATGCATTTCCAGTCTTGCGTAAAACTGATGCTGGGATTGTGCTGAGCTTACATACATTGAACCGACAAACGGAGGATCATAGGGCGAAGCCGGATCAGCCTCGAGATGCGTTGGACCAACCTGGGCTCATCTTTATGCTTCCTTACAGCATTTTTTGGTGGAAAACATTTAGTAACTGGCCCATATGGTATGATAAATATGCTGAACGGTACTTCCAGGAATTACTTCCATGATCTTCCATGGATTCCATGTGAGAACATGTTATTCCTTACCAACAGCATGCACCCTCCTGTTCCTCAGAGTCTTTCTCCAAACTAATAGATAAAATACAAACCTCCAAGTCTCTTTAGTTTGAAGAGCTCCACCTGGGGCTGGCACTCAGTTCTCGTTGCTTCCTGCTTCTCCGCTGCCGCTGCATTGTCTGCACAAGCTGAGCAAAGTAGCCAGAGTCGCAAAGACTCCTGCATCAGTCCAAGTCGAGCTACAGAACCCCAGAATCTATATAGAGTCTATTTAGAAAGTGCTTATCCTTATCCTGTTACCTAACAAAGGTCCCATCTCACACCTTTTGACTTCTATTGTGTCCTAAATCAACTAGCCTTTGAATCAATTCGACCCCGACTTTCTCTATGCAGAAGCATCCTGAGACCAAACCATCAACACCTGTTTGACTCGGCCCCCTGTTTCATCCCACTCCCGTGGAGCCAATGTTCCAAGACTGGAGCAAAGGGTGTGCCTGCCACTCTGCTTTCCAAAGACGGATTTGGATGGATCACTGATCACAAAACGTTTGAGCATGTATACCACCGTTTGATGGTCTTTCGCTGACTCATGTTGACTTGACTAGATGCCCTTAATCATTAATTGAACTACTCATTGGACCCATGGCCATGCAAAGCAATGAGAGCATGACGTGAAATCAAAGATCTTGACCGGCCACCTGGGCTCTCATGCCGCGGCCAGTCATCGCTCGCTCTCTCTCCCCCCCTCTCCCTCTCTCTCTCTCTGTCTGGAGTCCAGGGTTCAGACCTTTCCGCATGGCCTGTCACGCTGATCAAACATGATAATACATTAACACCCGGAAAAGTCATCTTCATTTTACACAGACGTTGCACTTGGGGATGTACCAACCGTACTCTTCCAACACGTGTCTTTGACTGTGCGGTATAGTCTTGACTTGTATCGAACTGTCGCATGCAAGCACTGAACGTCCTTCCTCGATCGCAAACTGTTGGTGGCGCACCAGTGAAGCCAGGAGCCACTGTAACACATTCAAGTAAAATGCTACAACATGCTACAACGTGTCTCAACTGGGAAACCAACATTCAAGGCACAAACCAACAATGGAGAACAATGGTCTGTGGCACTCCAAACGGGCGCCCTCGATCGGGCCACAAAGCTGCAAAATTCTATCGTTGTTGCCTTGTGACCTTGTGACCTTCAAGTTAAGTTTCCCTACAAATCTAGGAACCAAATGAATAGTGCGAGCACTTCTTCAAGGAAGCTCCCCCCCCGCCCTCAGGCTGGGGGGGCTTCCGTGAAGAAGCGTCAGCTATCATGCGTCCATGCTAGTGGCTACTTGCTACCTAGCTACTACGTACCTCTATGGCCTACCCCGGCCTTTAAAGAAAGAATTGTATTCTCACATCCGGTTCCTGCCTCCGGCTCTTCTGGCCTGATGAGATGGCCGCGCCAACGCTATGGCGCGAGCTGACACGTGGACTCCAAGGTTCAGACCAATTCCAGCACAGCAGCGACCATGGCAGGGACGGTGAAGACGATTCGGTGTGGCCCGCCCTCCAAATCCCAGAGTGCCAAGGCAGTGTCAGCCGTACAAGCGGGAGGTTGTACCGAGCCTGCTCGAAATGCTTCCAGAGTATTGAAAGCATTTCGAAGACAACCTTGGGATCATCCTGTCGAACCTGCCAAGGACGCTACTAGGGGCTCCTGGCATCGCTACTAGGAGCACGGACGATACTAGGGGCTCCTGGCCTTACTACTACGAACAAGAACGCTACTAGGAATTACCAGGAGCAAAACATGGATGTCATGACCAGCCACCAGTCGACAGCCCAAACACACACCTGGTGGATCAACTGCGCCATCGTCTCTTGCTCAGTGCGGAAAACCAAGGGATCATGCTCCAAGTGCCTCAGGTTCGAGCCTTATAAACATGTTCCAAGTGTCCGTCCCGCATAGAAAATCATGTGCAACTAGATCAAACATAATCTATGCGAATCATGGTAATTCCTTGAATTCTGTGGATCTTTAGGCCTCATCAAGTCTTCACCTGGATCATCTTTGCCGGTCTTGTCACGCAGAAGCGGACCGGTGAGCCTGGGCTACCAGGATCATCCAGGATCTATGACAATGGACACCTGGAAACTTTGGTGCCCCGCAAGAAGAGGTTCTGCACCGTCTCTGAGTCTTGAAGCCTTACCTAAGGTGACAGGTCCAAGGAATGCTGCCATTGTAATTGTCAGCCACAAAGCCACCCTCAAAAATAAACTGTTTAGATCTCTTTAGCATGGAAGTCTCAAAGTGTTCGCACACCCCATCCAACCGTGAAGCAAGCTGCTGGCCTCAACACCCTTCAAACACGCTCGAGTCTGCTCAAGCATCGAAACACTAGGACCACGTGCATCTCCAGCGAGCAACGCGGAGACCTGCGATGAACGGCGCTCAGAGACTTCGCTCAGAGAAGTTGTAGTGCACGTGCGGCTGTAGGAGTTTGCATTGCTACTAGGAGCAATGTTCGCTACTAGGGGTTCCTGGGCGTACTACTAGGAGCATCCTTACTACTAGGAGCAAGAAGCTATCAGAGGTGACGGGTTGAAGAGCAACACCTATACTCTACGGCAGTACGGCAGGCAACCTGAGGCCCTCTCCATGGCTAGAGCTCCTCTAGCTTGCATGGACTGTGACATCATGGCCTTGCCAGGCTTGCAAAGTTCTGGAAGCTGAAAGCCACCAACAGGTTCTGCAATTAAGAATCGCTCGGCATGTCCAACAAGCAGCTCTTAGTGAGAAGCCAAGAGCGACTTGTGGTAAGGCATTGCCAGAACCACCGAAGCCAATGACTCCTGTAGACACGGGTCAGTCAAATCCAGTCTTGGATACGCGCTGATGCCAAGTAATTCCGACCAATTCCTGAGTAAGTGGAGCAGCCATAAGATCCACCACTGCCTCGTGGAGAATCGCCGTCTGATGCCAATGCAATGATGTAAAGTGCTGTTTAATGTTAAGCTTCTCCCAATCCAATCATGCGAGGGGCCCTTCAATTCAAGGAAACTGCCCCCCCGTTGTCAGGCGAAGGGAAGTTTCCTTGAAGAAGCTTGAGCTCTTTTGTTTCCCTGTCTAGTAGCTACTCGAGCTACTATGTACCCCTCACTACTCACTACTAGCTACATGAATCTGAATAAATTCTGGTGCCCATCCTGCCTGGGCCAGCTTGGTTTCCAATGGGCATGGCACACCTGCGCAGAAAGAACAAAGCAAAGAACGTGAAAGCCATTTGAAAGCCTCAAAGCCCAAACACACGGCAGCATCGTGGCATGGCTGAGCTGCCATGTCACGTTTTTTTGTCAAACACCGCATCTCTCCAAAACATCTCTCCAAACCTTTCGAATACAAAATATCCAAAGTCCAATGAGCTACATATAGCATAATATAGCCAAATCATCGAACTTCACAAGGAAATCTGAAACCCACGAGAATCAACATGCACTCCCCTGGTCGCACCAGGAGCTTCTAGCAGCTGCACAGTGCTCCGCAGAAGTTCCATGCAGGACTCTGTACCTCTCCGGAGCGACGCATCGTCTTTGCCCGAGTCAAACGAACATGACAATTTGTTGTGGAATCTTCCAGACTAGAATGGGAGATTCCTGCAAGTCTCTGCACCTGTGTTCAATGCCAGCACGAACATGCAAAGCTCCTAACACTTCAACCCTCTGTCTAGATCTGTCTAGCAGGTTCACGAATGTTCCATGGTGTCCCATCCCCCAGCAGTCCAGCTGCAATTCCAGCAATGAGTCCAGAGGGGTTGCCTTGTGTCAAGGCTGGTGGACAGCTCTTCCAAGACTTCGACACTACAGGGCTGAGTTTGGCTTCAGTTCTACATCGCATGACCACCTGGAATGTCCAAAAACACACAGTGTCCACCAGTGTCCACACTGTCTGGGCTTCTGGCGGCAGTGCGAGGCCGGCTATGAAGCTGCTTCATGTGGGAGTGGAAGAGTCCAAACCTGTTGGATCATTTCATGTCATTTCCACATTCATTCTCGAGTAAGCTAGCAATCAGCCGGAGCGACACGTCCAAAGCGCTTTTGCCTTTCACCTCTTCGCCTTTGACAAGCGCGCGATCAAACGGAACTTCATTCCGCACTCACGTGGCCGAAATGGTCTGAGAGGCGTGCCCATCCGACCCATGTCAGCCAGAAAGCTTGTCAAGCGACTCAAAAGATGTTGCCTAGTTCTTTGTTGCAAAATCGCATCTGCAAAGGCTTCCAGACACAATCGAGAAGCACTTTCCTTTAGCGTTGAGGAAAGTGGGGAGATTGGTGTTTAGACATTGACCAAACACCTCAACCTCAGCTCTGCACGTCAATGGCTTCAAATCAACAGACCAATGAACCTGTCACCACAGGTTTTTACGCTAAGAGTAAGAAGAAGTTCATTCTTAAAGCTTGATTTCACTGAGACTTGAATGAAAGTGGCCCTTTTTGGCCGTGCGTGAATTGAGACGAATAACAATCGGACCTCTGCACACGTGGCTAAGACTTTCTCCAAGGTGTGCAAATGAAATGCATCACCAAAGACCTGCAAGGGAGGCCATCAGCAATCTGCTCCAATCGAACAAGTCAGCTGTCAACTTCCACCCATCTCTTTTTAGGAATGCTATGTTCATCAGCCTGCGTTTCAAAACGTCTATCTTCGTGCACGTTCTTTAGCAGTTTGAAAGATCTCTCGGTCGCTACACTCAAGATCTCTTCTGCAAGACGTCGGGCATGGTGAAGACAACAGTACCGGTTGTTGCTCAACAACAGTAGGATGCGGTTTCCCGGACCAATCAGTGCTGTCGACAACTGGGTGCTTATCGGTACTGGCCTCCACAATGAGTTGCAACAGGTATGCCTGGTGGACATGACAATTGACGGTGAGTTTCACGGAGGCGTTCATGATCTTTGAGATCTTTGAGATGTGCCAATCTCTTGTCAGTATCATTGTTCATGCTTTATCATCTAGACTCTTTCAGCCCTTTTCCTGTATCCTTCTCTGAACATTGATATGCTCTTTGCGTGAGAGTATTTTGAGTCTGCTCACTGCAAGCAGCTTCGAATACGCTAGAGGCTTCACACGAAGCCACAGTCGGTCATTTTAGCCCATGCATTCTGGATTCCGGTCTCTGCTGGCAGCCTCACCTGCAAGGTCGAGGACGGGTCTCGGCTGTTTCTTGGCAAGCGAAGAACATCATGCCCGTGTGTCAACACTCATGCGCGCATTTCGCAAAAGACGGATGATTCTGCTGCTTCATCAGTTGTGACACGGTTCGACTCATCATGTAATAACAACTTGGTTCATATTGTTTGCACCTTCACATGTGGGGTGGCCACGGTCACACTCAGCGAGCGCCTTGGAGCAGATTCAGAGTTCATGGTCTGAATGAGGTGGATGGCACATAGACGCTCTTGCTAAAGCCCTTGAGTAGAAACAATTACAGTAGTCCCTCTTGACCCTTTGTTAGTTACCGTATATCAGCAGGGTGAGAATTCATTCAAAAGGTGCATCCTCAGCAGTTGTTCAGTCTTTGTCTGGGATTTCCACCGCACTGAGGCTTGAAGATGTGATACCCCAGCTGGCACCTCAGCACGGGCGGCTAAGCAATTCTTGCCATCTCTGGAAACAAGTGCTAAGCAATTTTCCGGTGAGTCTCTCTAAGTCAAAACAGCAAAGCAACGGGAGATACAAGGAGACTGAGGAAAGGCACAGAGACGCACCACCTCGGGATCATCCACTTGAGCCTTGCAGCTCTTGCCGTTGGGAAAGCCCGATAATTCGTGGCCTAATGCCCCAACCTTGTCCCTGGCCAGCAGCCGAGTCAGCAGTTTGCGCTCCTCAAACAGAAAGATTGCAAGGAAGCCTGGCTGCAGTTGTTTGGTCAAAGCTCAAACTCACCAGTCCTCGGCTGAGTAGAAAGCAGTTGCCTGAGAAGTTGAAGACGGACAGCACCTAGGGGATCCAAATGAAGAATCATAAATGCGGGGGGGGGGTAGGCCGCGGTAGTGGTCGCTAGGGAGTCAACTGGACGCAGGATAGCTCGCGCTAATAATTTGGGAGACTTAACTAGTAGTGTCCTTGCTCCTAATAGCAATGGCCCTCAAACAATCTGATTCACTTTGACAAAGCTTCAATCTGACTCGGAGCTCCACGTCGCCATGTCCGTGAGAAACCGTCTCGCGGTTCCCGCAGGCACATGCGCCGCCTCGTGCGGGATCCCCACGAAATCATGAAATTCATCTTAAGTAGTCAGTACATCTGAAGCATCTTCAATCTAAAGAGCTCTCTGACTATGAACCACTGAAGAGAATCATTCTGGACTCTGAACCGCATTTTCTACTGTGCAATCACCGATTTCAAAATTTATGCTCGTCAAGGTTGAAACAGAGTAGAACATGTATGAGAGAAAAAGATAGAACATGCAGCACATGCACCTGCTCAAGCGCTTCAAGCAACTTTTGAAAGACCTGGAGACTGAAGTGGGGTTCAAAACATTCTCCGAATATCTCCAAATACCTTTCCTGCTGCCAGCTCCCTGACCGAAAGAACCCAAGTGTTCACAAGGAGACAGTGCTGGTTAATTGATGTTAATTGGTAAAGTTCGGATCTGCAAGCTTGATCAAAGCTTCATTGGCTTGGATGGGCTGGTGTTCAAGCAACCGTCGCTGCCTCTGCATCCATCTCCCGGCCAAATATACGTTGCACCGCTTCGGAGTTCATGTGGACGACCAGCTCCGCTCTTTCCTTCAGGCCAAGACCAAGAAAGAGAAACATCTGCTCTCAATCTTCTCCTTCTGAACACAAACCTACAGTACTGGGATTCTACACACAGTCTAGGAATGGACACGTGTCAACAACAAAGGCCTTTGTGGATTTGAATGGTGTATGTAGTCCATGTCCCATCTATCATCGTTCGTCTTTCCCCACCTCTTGATTGACATAAGGGATCTACAGAAAATCGGAACGTGGGGACAAAGTTCACCAGATGGTGTCTTTTGCACTGGGAGGCAATGGGGAAAAAAAGGATGGGCAAGGGTTCTGGAATGGCCAGTTCTTGCTCTGCCTCGGCTGTCTGTCGCCGCCGCAACTCCTTGTCGAGCTCCCGAATGCTTCGGATTTCTACAGGGGAGCACATACTTCCAGCATTCCAATTATGTGAGGATGCCCTTGGCATTGTTCTGTATCAATTGTACTGAGTCCTTACAATCTGACAGCCTGACAATCTCACCCCTTCATCTTTGATAAGGCAATATTGACATGCTTTCGGCTGCAAGGATTGCTCACGCCTCGTTTCTCGTCACTTCGATTCACCCTTTCCGCAAGTGTACTGGGCCTGAGTCGAGCATTTGAATCACCACCAAGAAACAGGTCTTTTCAAACTGGGTTTGCAGCACTGTGCCGGACGGGTAAGCTCCGCGGCTCTTTTCAACTTGCCTTCAAGGAGCAAAGAATGCGCAGGGTTCTCGTGTTCAAGCTCATCTACAGAACTTATCTGAACTTAGTGAAGGCAAGTGATGACGGTCAGCATTATAGTTTATTCCACTCTTGCATGCTGCAAGTACACCAACTATCCCACCAAACATTATATATATAGAATCCCTACCCCTTCCTGAGGGGGGGACGTCGAAAATTGTAAGTTACATTTTCCTGTGCGGAGGGCCTCAAAAAATGTAATTATATTAACTTTGAGGTGGCCTAAAAAAAGGTAACTTACATTTTTGAGACCTCATGGGTGATTTTCCGGGGAAAGACCTCAAAAATGTAAGTTACATTTTTGAGGCACGGTGGCGCGCTTACATTTTTGGACCTCCATCCCCACACTAATTTCTGCTCACGACCACGCCCCGCATGGTCAAATGCGGCATTTCAAGGAAATGCCTGCCCAAACATGTCAGCCGTCAGCCGTCAAGTTGAATGATGCTGCCCGCGGCCGGCTGCATCATTAGCATTTTTTGGACTGAAAAACAGATATATCAAATATATCTGTTGTTTAAACAATTCTTTTTGGCCGGGGGGGGGATCTTCCATACAAAACTCCTTACTCATATGCCCGCCACATATGCTTCGTGGACATTTTTTATGTACATCCACCTGTCTGCAGACACATGTGTTAGGAGTTCCTGTGCCCACAATACACACTCATCAGAGGCACAAATCCTTACTCACCAGAGGGTAGTATATGTTCCTGCTTCTTGGCAGTTTGCTCTGGGTGTGTTTCCTGTTTTTCTTTGTTGATGATGACTCAGACCCACTGCTGTTCCCTCACCTGCTCTTTCTAGCAAGGAACAAGCAGCCAGGGCAAAAACATAGCAGTGATTATGCTCTGCTATGCGTGGGTTTTGTTTTGGCATCCTTCCTTTGGGGTCTTGCTTTGTGTGTGTGTGGCTGTTATTCTTTGTTGGTGATGACTCATCATGTTTGCCTTCTGCAGCAACAAGCCACACAAAAAACAAAGCAGATGAGGGAACAGACCCAAGTCATCATCAACAAAGAAGAACAGGAAGCACACCCAAAGCAAACTGCCAAGAAACAGGAACATACATGTTCCCACTGAAGACCCCAAAGGAAGGCAACAAAGCGGAACCCAAACATAACAAAGGATCACACTCCATACACAATAAAGGAGAACAATAAAGGAGAGGCTGCCTGTTCTATTGGGCAGGAGAACAAGGATATTCAACGCCGTTTGATCCCCTGGTTTCTTGCCCCCTGCTTGCGGTTCGTGTGGTCGGACGTGTGTGATTTTCAGTATGCTAAAATGTAAGTACCTCAGGGTGACACCTCAGTTCCTTGTAAATTCTGGGGAGTTGGGCATGTGGCCAAAATGTAAGTTACAATTTGTGAGGTCAAACTTTCTCACAGAACCCATGTATTCCCTGTAAAATCTGTGGGTTTGGATGCGTGGACTAATTGTAAGTTACAATTTTTGACGTCTGCAAATCTCACCTTTTGCCTGTGTCCTGGTCCTGCATTTTTGGAGGCTATGTTTTCCTTGGTGTTGAGGCATCAGCAAACAGTTGCCAAATAGTACTTTTAGTATTAGTTAATTACTTATATATTTCATTAAGTGACTCCCACCCCCAAATAATCTCTTAGTGATTGGCGTATCTTCGATCTGCCAACGCACCCTAGGGGGGGGTAAAAAAATGTAAGTTCAGGCCTCCCAGGTCGCAAGTTACATTTTCCAGACCCCCCCCCACTTCGATCTGCCGACCCCCAGTAGGGGGGGGGTAAAATGTAAGTAAGCACGTCCCAGGCAACAAGTTACATTTTTTCCCCCCCCCCGCCCCGTTACCCGTTTCGATGGTGCCTGGGGGGGGGTTAACTTACATTTTTTGACCCCCTAGGGGGGTACCCTAAAATGTAACTTACTCTTGTGAGGTCCCCCCCCCGGCAGTAGCTTAAGGGGGTAGGGATTATATAGACATGTTAAGACAACCCAAAACCTAGTGGCCAGGGCCTATTGTACGAGAACTTTGGAGGCGCATTGAACTCGTTCTTGTGAATTGGCTTCAGCATGCAGCCAGCAACACGAGATTTGAACCTCAGAATCCATCATGCAGGGGTGGAACGATCCCTCGGCAAGACAAACCATTCCAAACCAATCTGCCCACTTTTGCTGAAGTTCTCATGTAACGAAGTGCTTCACCCTGATGTCTCGCTCCCTCCCTCCTCAACTAACTAGCCAAAGTCCCAGACTCGTCATAGCTAGCTGTGGTTGTGATGGCACGCTTCTTGGCATCATCAATGGTATCCTGGTACATTTGGCAATGTCAACTCGATTAAATATTATACATCGGGCAGGATCTTTTTTCATAACAATATGAAATATAAACATGGACGGCGGAGACCGTCGCTGGGAATGAATGCTGACTGCCACTTTCACAACTGTCCAACAAGGCCAAGATTCTCTTTTCCAGTCTTCCTTCACAGCATCTGCTACCTCCTCTTTCATTCTATCAAACTTGAAGGACTGTGGATCATACCTGGGCGTTGTGGTCTTGCGGACCTGCCCCCTTAGCCGCACCCAGCTTCACCCAGGGCGCACGTCCGCAATCTTTCTTCCTTGATGATTGGCATATTGCACAGAGCGCCGGTCTGCCGGGTGTTTCGGCAAGGACAAATGGCCAGCCCCTTTTGGGCTGTGAAACTGTCAGCTTTGAGCCTCAACGGCCTGCCCGTGAGTGAAAAGATGTGAATGGCCAAATGACCTGAGTAGAACGACCTGAGTAGTTCCTGCGAAGTGCTCAACCCTTGGGTGATGTTTCCGTTGACATGTGCCCACCTGGCCAGCAGCATCTTCACATGCAGGTACCAAGTTCAGCAGCTCGGGCAGCACAACCTTCAAGCTAACTCACTCTTTCAGGCAATGCCACGACATGCCGCGACGTTGTAACCATTATAACCTGACAAGAAAGAATCAATAGACATCGCCATCATCCCTGTGGGCCTCGGCATACAACTGGGTGGTCAGGCCTTCTAGACGTGAAATCTCCATTAAATGAGCACCTGCGAAGGCACGAAAGGATCGGAGGATCAACGGCACACAGGGCCCCTGAATTTGATGCAACATGCAACATGCGCCTAAGAGCAAACGCAAGGAGAAGCGATACTCATCGAGTTCCCAGGCCTCAAGAAAGTCCAAGGAATCAACACTTGCAAAAGGGGTGATAGTTTGAGTCAAAGAGTGCGTTTGTTTGAACGAGGCCTTGCTGTTTGATGTGACATCGGCTCTGACCTTCCAACATCAAAGCATGGGTGATGGTGATAGCTTGAGTTGAAGTCCGCCTCAAGTCGTAGACGCTGCCAAAGGATCACAACCTCCTTGAAAGTGCCGAGCAGAAATGTCCTCAGCAAACCGGTGTCTGATGATTGATTGGCCCATTCATTCTGCTCATCTCCAACATTTCTCCTTCATTGCTCTCAGTGCTTTACAGTGCGCCCATCATGCCGCTTCGAAGTCCTTGAAGTTTGTCCTTGTAAGACTGTAAAAAACATGTTGAACACTTAAAGCCGATTCAAAAGGCATCGACAACAGCATCACTTGGAACCTGAGATAGAACTGAAGACACACGGGTCGGGTGGGGTGTAAGAATCTCGTTCCAATGCATCCACGAAGGAACCGGCATCATTGAATGCTCAGCTTTAATTCATAACAGTATTTCCGGATTGGATGGTGAATGGTGGCTCCTTGACTACTTGGAGAAGAAAATAGCGCAGAAAAAGCCCACGCACAGGGTGCTGTACCTTTGCAGAACATCGCCACATGTCCACATGTAGTACGTCCACAGTGTTTGAGTCTTGTGTGCTATCATCGTCATGACGCAGCGGCGCACCGCACGAACCATCCGATCCAAGTCTTGAAGGATCTCGTCCGACTCGCTGGTCGCAAGCATGCGCCTGGGTCCAAGTGGCCATCTGTCTGTCACCATGTGATCAACCCTTAGAAGAGAAGCGCGAGAGTCAGGATCCGATCCTTTCTTTTCCGATGAGGCTCGGACGCCATGCCCACAGTCACCAGCAAGTAGAGACGAGGAAGACAATTGCCCTCGTATTGAACTATCTCGAAGACCTCGCCAGCTCTGTCGGCACGAGAAGCCTCTCCTGTGCTTCTAAGTCCCGTCAAGCCTCTTCCAAGGAGAAGCCATGCCTCTGGGCTCTGTTTCAAGAAGTACTGTACCACTTCGACCAAACGAAAAAATGTTGAACGTATGGTGACCTGTCTTTAATTCAAAGCTGCAAAAAAAAGGCCTCTCTGTTTCGAGCAAGTATGCGCCCAAGTATTGCAATTCAACGTAGACCATCGAGTACCTCATCTTGTTTCATCTTCATCTCCACTAAATTGGCCGAACTTTCTGATTCACTGAGCTCTTGGCAGCTTGTAGTAGTTTTGTGGGTCGAGGCGAGACGAGCGTAACCTCACACGTCCAAGATAGAACAACCATGTCTGAGACCCGAAAGTGACATGGTTGGTGGTCTCATGTTGTCTCTATGTGTCTGGGTCTCTCCGTCTGCGGGCTTTTCATATGTTTTCTCTGCTTGTTTGTGATAGACTCTCAGCATCCTTGCATGCATACCAGGGCAATATATTAAGACATCTCTGACTAGGTTTATATCCTCAAGAATACTGTGCTGACACAGCTCAGTCCCTTGTCAGTCAGTCATTGTAATCATCTGTATGCAGCTACTATAGCCATTCAATCGAGTTTCCAGTATTCATATCATCCATTGTAGAACATATTGTCTGAATATGTCTGAATGAATGAATCCTTGAAGCATGAGCTAGGCTTTCCCAGTTTGTTGCCCACGGATCGTTTCGCTCTGATTTCAAGAAGGCTACAACAGTGTCCAAAACACCGTTCAATGCTTTCTTGCTTTCTCCATTCCTGCATGTTAGCCTGCAGTTTGCTGTTCAAGTTTGGGTGCTTGGTTTTCTTTACCGGGCTGAGCATTCTAACTGAAGTGGCCATCTTGCGAAGAAATGCTGAAATGCCGGCTGGGCAGCTCATTGGCCAGCGACAAAGAGTGGCGAATCGCCTTGTAAAAGTCTCCGTGCTGAACTGCCTCCCATGGCTGAGAGTCAGGTCAAATGAGACTATGCTCCCAAAACAAGGACTGACTATTGACAATGTATACTATCAGAATGTCAGACTCAACAAGAATTGCCCCTTTCCCATTGAATTTGATCAGGTTCCGTGCCACCGCTCCTTGCGCAAGTAGAAGCGATGTTCTGCGACAAAGCTGCATGCTTCCGCCAGGAGGTTGGCCTTCTGGGCTTCATCCTATGTTCACTGTTGGAAAAAGAATGAGCGCAACAGCGATTGTTGGGACTTTGAAAGTGAGGTACAGTTACTTGAAACCACGTATAAATTAAACATAAATAAATATATGCTATGTTCTCAACAAAGTATGATAATCAAGTATATTGTTACTAGCAATATATAGACTTTCCATGTATATGGGTGGGGACTGTTTTCATGAGGGCTTTGATCATCAATGAGTATTGTCTCATATATAATTTGAACAATCTGACAGCTTCAAGCAGCGCAATCTGTGGCCTCGTTCATGGCCGTTGTTACCACGGCCTCGGGAGTGTTGCTGAGAACAGTGTCTTTGATGTGCAAAGTACTTTGCGAATCCGAGTGTTCAAAAGACCTTCTGAGTTTATCAAGTTAGACGGTCTTTTGTCCAATTCATGCCAGGTATGCGACCATTTTAGCATCTCTCCTGAAGCTCGAAGACCGTCTTCACTGCACATTGTTTGACACTTGGCTACAAAAGGTCCCACAGCCGAAGCTCCTGCCAGCAGTTGCGCAGAGTCACTGCGCATTCTCTCTGCTTTTTTTGCGTTTTCCATGGCTGCTTTCCAAAATGAAATCTGTGGCCTTCCTTCAATTGGAGTGCTATTTATAGGTCCTTATGATGCAGAAAAAAGACATGTTCACGCCGAAGCTTTGATGGTGTATTTGAGTTCTGGTGTGGGAGGTCACGATCTGAAGCTGATTGGCTTAAGGGGCAAATCACTAGACAAGTTAGAGGTCCTGCGGTTGGAGGAAAGGCATCGTGGTTCAACTTTATCCCTCTTGATCCTTGTGTGTCACAGTTTTGAGTGAAATTCTCAGCCCATCGACGTCGAACAAAAGACTTACACAAGCACAAACTGCAATCTCCCTTTTTCCAGGCTTGACCTGAACGATTCTCCGGAGACATGCAACAAAAGTTGCTGCCATACACTTCGGCATGTAGGCAGTGCATGCGGGGGGAACTTCAAAAAGTGACTGGAGCTGCTCCAGGCCGGCTGTACATTTGTGAACCTCTGTTCTTCTGATCAATCAGAACGGAAAAGGACAGCGCAGGATTGCACAAATATACAGGATTGCACAACGCAGTCGTGCAATGCAAATGTTAAACGTAGTTGCACATGCATTGAAACCGCTAGCTCATCAGTTGACGAATTAAGGAGAACATGGGAACAACGACCCTTGCCTGTTTAAATCATTCGTGATCCTTCCAGAAACTCCTCCACCCAACGCTCTGCCTGCAAGATCCATTTGACACCGAAAGTCTGCCCAGATTTTGAGAGGGATTCTGGCCTTGAGTCTTGGAATGGTGGGTGGTGGAACTTTCTTCGGCATGGGTACCTGAGACTGCGAAGCTCCAAGAGGACTCCCGGTCAAGCAGCAACTCTTGCAGCCAAATCACACCTGGGACTGCCTTCGATTTCATGAGCTCTTGTGGGTCAACCTTTGAAACAGAGCAATGTTCTATGGCAGTGTTTTTTCGTAGCTCTATGTGGTCAGAAATCATCCACTAAGCACCCAGCTGAGCCAATTGGTTTGTCCAGCGCAGCTTCTTTGAATGCTCTCTCTTCACTCCAGGCCTGCAGTTGCCGCAGGGTTGTCTTTCCCTGCTTGAACATTCTCAAAATTGCTCAAACAACCTGAGCTTTGACATCCACTTGTCAACCCGCTTCATTTCTTGTTACTCGTAACCCCGTCATCTCGCAGCGCGCCGATGTTTCTCGGAGTTTCTTCTGGAGTATTATATAGTGACTAGTTGTTGTGACCTTCGACTTTGAAATATATATACATCAGACCATATCCCGGGGTGTCTGTGATCCAGAAACAACTGTGATGCTTCATATCGGGCAACGCACTCCACACCCAGGCCGCACAAAGCCTTGTATCTGGTTCGAACATAAGTCTTCAGCTTCGAGGAGAGGCCAGGCTAGCACGGAGAAATCCATGCGCTTTGATGCTTAAACACTGCTACACTGCAAAGACTTATCTCAAATGCCTGCTCCAATCGAGCCGGGGCTACAGCTGCTTTGTGTTTCTCCTCAATGTCCCCTTTCTTGGCTTCACTGGCAAGCAACTCTGCTTGTCGTGCTGCCTGACGAGCACGCTCGACTTCTGCATTTCCTGCAGCAGGTTTTCCGCTCCGTTGTCTCCCGTTGACACAAAAGCTGCTTGGACACTACAGCACAAAAAGAGAGCTTCAGCTGAGGCGTCTGCTAAAATCATCTTGAACCTTTAGCACCTGACCATCTCTATTTCCCAATCTGCTGTATTGACTATTGACCGCTTCGTTTTCAATGCAGCTAAAATGCTATGTTAATGGCTTCATATTTGGTGTCGTCACGGGAAAGCTCATTGAACGAGGTGAAGCAAGTAAGATGCCGGCATGATTGGACCAATTTGAAACTTGCTGAAATCTTCTCAAGAGGACCTACAAGAGTTGCTCTGCAAAAAAACAACATCAATCCAATCCGCTATCATTGGTGAAAGCATGTGAAAGCTGCGTGGAGAGGGTTTTTCGTCTTTACAAGCTGCCTTGGCCTGACGTGCCTCGTCGCCGTTCCGGGGCACACCACTTTACAGTGTGGGATTGCAAGGGTTTCGACTGTACAACAATAAATTACATTGAATTACAGCTGAAACACATTCAATGCACTCTGTGGATATCTGTGGAGGGTGCTAGAACATGGAGAGGAAACAATGGAAGCAAGCAATCAAAAGATTCAAGAGCACTAGAAGTGCGCACACGTTGCAACACGTCCAGGATTCCATAGAGTTCCTGATAAAGAAAATGCCGCTAGCTACAAAGGATCCTGCTGGCAGTTATGCCAAACTGCGGCCACATCTGAGTCACCCTGGCCTGCGGTGCAACGATACCCAGTCCAATGACATATATGGACACACTGACCATCAGGTGCACCAAGCCAAAGGTGCACACAGCGCGGAGACGAGGAGCAAGGTTCATGCTGCTCAGCTCCCGTGACTTCTCAACTAGACGACGAGTGGCCCGATAGCATTTTTCATCACGTAGGAAGTCAGAGTGTGAGTTATCTGTTAAGTGTTCAGTGTGAAGTGTTTAAGTCGAGTGAGTTGAGGTAGTGTGAGGGCCTCTGTGTGTGTATCTATGTCCGTGTGTATATGAGTCTGTGTATGTGTGTGTGTTCGTGTAAGTTGAGGCAGTGCGTGGGTGTCTGTGTGTGATGCGGCCTCCCAAGCCCCCCACCGGCGGCCAAGCGGTGACAGCCCAGCTCATCGTCATGAGCATTTGAGCTGCTGGTAAGGGGAGAAGCAGCGTGCACGCCTCCAGGAAATCTCACTAAAAAAAAGGAGCCGGAGTGAAGACAGAAAAGTGCCGAGGCAGGTACGCAACAAGTGTGTCAAAGCAGTGACCTGTCAGAGGAGAAGCGTCCAGCGATATACGATCAGAGGTAACGTTTCCTTCACTCCAGGACACTAGCTTTTCTAGGATGTCGTTAACCAACCACTATGCTTGTCATTGACTAAATGACTGTCTCAAAGAAAAACGTGACAAAGTAGCATGAGGGTTGCACGGGCAGCCGGCAAATCGCACTCTCGCCTGCGTTTCGCGCACTCGACACGCACGATCTCCGCAGAGGGTTGCGCGCGCACCGGACAA